AACGCTTCCCATGCTTAGTCTACAAGGAGAATTGTTACCACTTAGAAGTCTGAAGAGCACATCGAATTGCGATCTCACGTTACAACTCAGACCAGAGAAGGAAAGCGGTAAAAAATTTTGTTCGCGAAATTTTTTTAATGTTACACTGCCACATTTCAGTGTAAACTTACCATGCAGTCTCACTGATTTTCAGCATTGAAAAATGGAAGTATTTTGCAGACCAAAAATGCGAAGCGTTTGCAAGTTCCAAAAAACTACAAATTTTTTACACGAATCCACGCTTGTTTGTCGGCACAGTGGCACAGTTTTCTTGTGATATTGGTTTCTATGCGGAAGGGGCACGCTCGTCAACGTGTCTAAGCTCGGGAAAATGGTCGCATAGCTCACCGAAGTGCCGAGGTATGCAACCCTTCCAGAACTGGACTTCATTTCTCAAACGCTTATCAAAGGTCAACGAAGCAAACGAAGAACTTTCGAAAGAGATTCAATGGGGAGCGGTAGCACCTCAAGGACAGGGCTGGGTCTTTCAGAATTCAAAACTTTCCTGCGCATTTCATTCCTCGTAAAAAGTAGAGATGTAGCCGGAAGTGACCCGAGCGATAGCGCTTTGCTAACACAACCAAACGCTGGCGATGTTTTTCTTCAAATCTGAATCGGCTTGTCCTCCAGTATGCTGAACCCGCTGGTACTAGCCAGTTATTGAAACATGGGAATGGTTTCCATATCCGCCTACTCGAACCCGCAACTCCAGCCAAACAGAAGACGCTTTCTGCCACAAAAAAAGAACGAAGATCACCAAATTCGCAAAAGTGATGAATTTTCGCATGGCATTTTTATAGCATTGCAGTGTCCACCACTGGCAATAACCGATTCGGAATTGCGTGCAACGGTCACTTCATTTGGAGCAGCTGGTATTGCGCGCTTCTCATGCACATCCTCACATGTTCTGGTCGGAGGCCGGACCATGCGATGTCTTCCTCAAGGAGACTGGTCAGGATCAGTGCCGCACTGTAAACGTATGTTTCCGCTCGATTTCTGGTATTATGTCGATTTCATTAACACGCTGGCTGATGAGGTGAGGTACCTCTCATCCCTCCCAGAACCCGTATAACAAATTTGCGCTATGTTTTAGTAAATAGTGGCAATAA